CTAAGTTTCAGCTCACGGTCGAATACTTGCGGTGCCCAGGCGATGAGATTTCATTCTTGAAGCGCAGGCATGTGCTCCTGGAGGATTACACATTAGTCATTCAGCCCCCTTTGAAGCATCTTCAGCATTTGGTCGAACTGGTTGGTTTGAATGTGGATGTTTTCAGACCTCGCAAAACGCCCATGCCAGTAGGTCTCAATTATGTGGAGCAGGACAAAACCTTGGTCGATGCAGAAAGAGGAACCGCCTATCGCTCAGCAGTAGGTTTGCTTTTGTACCTTTCGCCAGATACTGTTGAAAGTCAGCATTGCATCAGAATATTGAGTCAGTACATGACAGCACCGACAGAAGGTTCATTCAAGTTGTTGAAGCATTTGGTTTCATATCTTTGGGGCGCACGCGGGCATGCCATTGGGTGTTCTACCCCTTCCTTTGGAAAGGGCATCATCACGGAGTCAGCAAAGCCCTACCTGCTTGAAGCTGTGAGCGACGCTGATTGGTCTGTCGCACATCCAGACGATCTTCATCGTCAGGGAACATTTTGTTGAACGGACAGCTTGCTCTTTCATCTGGAGAGAGTGAATTTTATGCCTCAGTGAGCACAGCCTCAGACGCCCTGATGCTTAAGGCAATGATTTCATTTGCTATTGATAGCAATCGTGATGTGGAGCTGAAGCTCATCGGCGATAGCGCCGTGGCAAGGGGCATACAGAGCAGGCGGGGCTGTGGCAAAGTCAGACATTTGTCTGGCAGGTATCTGTGGTTGCAGGAAAAGGTCAAAGATGGTTCCATCAGCCTTGGCACTAAGTGGAACACGGCAGACCTCGGCACGAAGGCTCTTAGCCGGCAGAGAATCCGTTTACTTTTGAGTTTGCTGGACATACGCGATGAGCTGGCAGACTACTCAGTTGTGGGATCAGATGAGTTCGATGAGGAGTGCATGCGGCATCACTTGAAAGGTGTCATCAGGCGTGTCAGCCAAGAGCTTTGTGCGCCTGAGTCGTCATCTCAGAGGATGAAGCAGGCCAAGCGGTTGGTGAAGCTCGGCCTTTTGCAATCGGCAGCCGTTGGAGCTGCTGGCACCGAGAACGTCTTGAGCCGAGAGCCCAATACGACAGCGCAGTTGACAGATGAGTATCTTTTTCATGATGTGCTATTGGTTTGCATTGCATGTGTTATGCTTGGATTTTCTATTTTTGGTATGTACACTTTTGCAGTGACAGTGTGGAGCAGATTTTCGGCAAAGAGACGCCCTTTAGAGCGTGACCAGGGAGCAGAGTTCAAGCTTGCACCTATCCATGAAGGCAGTGAAAGCAAAGAGCCATCACTGAGTGCGAGCACTGTCCTTGGCAGAAACGATGTGAAGGAGCCCTATGTGTTCGTTACGAATCACGGCAAGCACTACCACAAGTCTGGTTGCAAGTGGATTGCAAACAGAATGACATCCAGATTGCTTGAATCCGAAGCAGTTGGGTCACATTTGAAGAAGTGCCACACCTGTCATCAGCATAGCAGTGCAGTGCAATTGCGTGGCAGATCGAGCAGGATTTCAGAGAACTCTGGATCTTCAAGTGCAAATGATGCGGCATGAGAGAAATGGAATCCGGTTTGCTATATGGATGGCAGCCTAGCGTTTCACGTGTTTGTTTGCTGGTGCCGTACGAGCATAAGCATGCAGATGAGATCAGATGAATCTGTCGTGCACCTTCAGATTAATCTGAGGCGGGGTGCTAATAGTTGCATGTACCGTGTACCTCTACTTGATGGTAACACTCGGATGTGTGGAACACCAGATTTGTACACTTCATGTCACGACTTGTACAGTTGTTGTCTCTTGAGTTGTGTAAAGTTGAACCGTGATCGCAAGGCGTTCTGGGTCAAAAGTTTCGCAGCTTCCTTGAAGCCAGTAGATTTTGTGTGCCCTCTTGAGCAGCTATTGGTTCTGGAAGTGTTCGCGGGAGTGGCCTCGCTTTCACACGAATGCCGAGCAGCAGGTTTCACTGTGATGTTAGTTGACCAACAGCGGCACAGATTTTGCAAAGCAAAACTTCTGAAGCTTGACCTCACCCAAGGACCAACTCGTTCTTTTGCATGCGTGTGTTTTTTGCGAACATTGCGTATGCGCACTTCGCACCGCCACGCGCGACATCTTCAAGGGCGCCACCGCTCAGATCTGAACAGCACTGCATGGGCTTTCCATGGCTGCAGGGCCAGGACAGACAAAGAGTGCATTCAGCAAACGTGTTGTACGCCCTTACGTTGATTGCGGTGGCGCTGCTGGTTCACCGACGGGCAGTCGTCAGCGTGGAAGGGCCCAGCAGCTCATACATGTGGTTTGTCTTAAAGTCTCTTTGCAGCAAACACGCAGTTTTGCAACAGTCTTGGCATAGTCTGCAATCGAATGTTTTTGCGGCCTGCGTGCACGGTGGCGCTTGTAATGAGCTCACAAATTGGCGAGGAACCAAGGGCCTTTTCGAAAACCTGCGAAAACTATGTGACGGGTGCCACCAGCATGCAGAGTGGACGCCATGTGCTGCTGCCAATGGCCAGCCTATGTTTCCACCAGCAGCAGAAACAACTCACCCCGACCTGTTGTGCCAGCGCGTCCGTCAGCTTGTGTTGCATGTTTGCCATTCAAGAGGGGCAATCATTGCAGATGCACACCTGGCAAACGCGCACTTGGTTTGTGGCCGTGCTTTTCGGCAAGCCGGGCAGCAGAAACTGCCGCCCTTGGTTGCAGAATACGCAGTGATCACAGACACTAAACCCTCAGACATGTCTATGGCCAAACAGTTGAACCATGTGAAGTCGGGCTGGTCCTGAAAGGCAAGAATCTTCTTCTGTGGAAAGAGCTGATGCAGGAAACTGGATACAACGACTCTTCATTGTTCAACGAGGTGGTCAGGGGTTTCGAGTTGTGTGGGCAATCTCCTGTGAGCCAAGAGTTCCCCCACGGGTATGTCCCTCCGCAGCAATCGGTGGAAAGTTTGAAAGAGCAGGCGCTGTGGATGAGGAAAGCCTCAACGGGAAAATGCAGGTCGACTGGTGACAGGCAGCTTGATGAAGAGGCCTGGCTGAAAACACTCCAGGAGCGAGATGCGGTACGGCCCCTTCACAGAGGCGGAGGTCACCAAACATGTAGGTTCAGAATGTTGGCTCGCCACACGGAGGTTTCCTTTGCAGCAGAGGGATAAAGTGAGGCTCATAGATGACGGGCTGGCCTCAGGGCTGAACTCCGCACACGGCATTGGCAACAAGCTCAAATTACAAGATGTAGACGCCTTGATATCATTGGTGCTGTGCACTATGAAAGCTGCAGCAGGGGGCACGGTCCGACTCCACTTGTCTTGCGGTGAATGTGTTAAAGTCACCCCCTCTCCGGCTTGGCGAAGCAACTTCAAGCTCTTGGGGCGGACCCTGGACTTGACGGCAGCCTACAAGCAGCTGGCGGCATTCTGTCCTGACTCTTGGAACCGCCATATTGTGGTTCATGATCCGGACAGCAACACCCCAGCTTTCTTCCGGGCAGCTGCTCTCATGTTTGGATCAACCTCTGCAGTCTACGGGTTCAACAGAGTAAGCAAGTCTCTATGGCACATAGGCGCGCACTTGCTTTCCCTCTGGCACACCTGCTATTTTGACGACTATCCATCAGTTGAACTAGAAAAAAATTCTTGCCCAGCCAGAGACTCTTTTGAGCAGCTGTTGGATTGTTTAGGCTGGAAATACGCCGTCGAGGGGCAGAAAGCAAAGGACTATGCTGGATCTTTTGACGTGCTAGTCATGACCTTGGATCTAGACCAGTGTGCGGCCGGCTCTCTCACCATCAAAAACAAGGCTAGCCGGGTGCAAGGCTTGTTGCAGGTGGCGGGGTCCCTCATACACCAAGGGAGCATACAGGAGGGCGTGGCCTCCTCACTTGCGGGCCAGCTCACCTTTGCTCAAGGCCAGTGTGTCGGCGCAGCGCTCAAGCCCGTGACTGCTTTCTTGGCAGGCATAGCCCGGGATGGCTGGGAAGACAGCTTGCAAGACCAGTTGTACGATGCTATGTCTTTCTTGTGCAAAATGTTGAGCAACCCCAAGCCGCGAGTTGTTTCCGTTCACGATTGCGAAACTCCAGTGGTTCTTTTCACAGATGGAGCATGGGAGCCAACTTCGGACAGACCCGCAGGAGCAGGTTGGGTCATCGTGGATCAGGTAAGCGACACCAGGTTGGTAGTTGAGCTGGAAATCCCCAGCTGGCTTGTTGGAGTTTGGAAGAAGTCGGGCAGGTCGCAGCTCATAGCAGAACTGGAGCTGCTGCCAGTCCTGGCAGCCATCTTGCATCATAAGGACTTGGTGGCAATAACGCAGTGCGGGATTGCTTGATCAAGGCTGGCTCCAGATCCCCAACTCTGTTTGCAATGTTGTCACAGATTTTTCAGGCAGTAGCAGATCTGGGCAGTCTTTTGTGGGTGTCCAGAGTGCCGAGCAAATCTAACATTGCGGACTTGCCCAGCAGGGGACAGGCAGAGCAGGCAGCAGGCTTGATCAAAGGAACTGCGCAGAGCTCTCCAGCTGAGCTGCGAATTGTTGCAGCATGTTGCAGCTGCTCTCCAGCTCAATTTCGTTCGCATCGTATTGGGCAGCAGATGGCAAGGTGCTGAAAGGAAAAGGGGGAGAGATTGCTTGAACCATTGCTTGTACATTGCGACGGCCCAGGTAGGTCCATTGTGAATGAATTGTGTGTCATCCCTTCTTTAAGTTGCCAGAAGCTTTGTTTCTGCGCTTCCTTGAAAAGGCGCAAATAAGTACGATTGTTTTTGTAGGCTTGATTGTTTGTGCAACCACATCCCTTACGTCTGAGGACGGAAAAAGCAGCAGTTCGGTGCTCATGATGCTCATGGCTGATCATGTGCCGTTGTCTCTCTAGGGTTTGGCTTAAAGGATTGGAGGGTCCCCCATTTTTGAGACAAAGCCACGTGGGCCGATCTTCTTTGCTAGGCCTTTTTTCGCGGCAGGGACTCATCAAGACCTATGAGGAGGAGGACCATGAGCCCTGGGGAGCGTGCTCCTTGCAGAAAAAGAGGAAGAGGTATTGTTCCAAGGGTTGTTGTGACCACAACCACAAACAGGTTTGCTCACGTGGTATTGCCAGAAAAAATGTGTTTTGTTTGGACTGTTGCACATGATATTCCATACTGGTTGTGTGTACTCCCAGTGACTGGTGCATCACTACATGCCGCCTTTGCTCACGTGCCCTCATTACATTGCTGTGGGCAGATTGACTTGCAACCTCAAGGGACATTGTGAGCAGCATGGTTCACACACGAAGGTTCCTCTCTTGGTTGTGCACATTCCACCTTATTGTAAAGCTACATGGGCGTGTCTTTGTTTGACGGTACTTTCTTTGGGGTTGCTTTGCCCACATATACATTTTTACCGCAGCTGGTCAAGAAATATTTTCCGAAATACTACAAGTTGTGCCGACCGGGAGCGCCTTGCGCGGTTTGCCCGCAGGGACAGGGGCGCAATTCTGGGATCATTATGTCGACCGTTTGTGGGGGTTATGAAAGTCAGAAACTGGGGCTGTTTCCCTTTAACCTGCAATCATGGGACTAGTTGTTTTGTGTTTGGATGAGTCTTCAAGGAAGGCAATATTTCCCCGCCAACAAATAGCCAACCAACCCCCCAACCGTAACAGAGACATGTCGGCCCGGGTCGGCAGATTTCGAATTGGCGAATTATGATAATTCACTTAGGTTGTCGGCCAATCATTTTGATTGGCGGCCATGGTTCCCGCTTGGGAATGATGCTGTCCCTTGAAAAAAGAACAAGCACGTGAGTAAAATCAAGTCTCAGCAGGTGACATGGGCGCTACGATTCACCGCACCGAAATTGCAGGTACGGCTTTGCTCTGAACCACAAGCATTTGCCGGAGATGGCAAAGTGGACAGGCTTGAACAAGGCGAGGGGGGGGGGGTTGTGTTCCACCAGTGGATCCGACTACTGCCACAGCAGGTCAAGTTGAATGTAGACACACCATTCAAACTTGACAGCATGAATAGCCACTCCGTCGGCAGAAAAAGGGCTCCATTGGGTCCATTGAGCTTCGCGCTCTTGTTGGCCCAAGCTAAGTTTACAATTCCGTGAAGGGCTGAAGGTCCACTAGGTCAAGTTTGGGAAGCATTTGGCTTCTTTGAATTGGCTAAAATGGTGGTACAGATTTTTAGATCCGGGCATGGAAGCCGAGGAGCCGATCTTCTGCCCTGCAGTGGGTGACTTCAAGCAGGGCATGGTTGTGCCCGTGCCTCGTCCAGCCCCCGAGGCATCGAGAAGCCGGAGACACACGTATCTACACGCCACCGGAATCGAAACCTCCTCGAGCGAAACATTACATTTGGGCAACCCAATATGATGAGGCACATGCTAGAGTGGTTGGCTTGCTTGCTCCTTTTCACGTATGGATTTACTCTATTTCAAGCGTGGCTTGCTTTGCTTTTCAGCTAGAGCCGGGCTCAGTTCTCTCTGAGCAAAGAGGTCGGTGCCACTGCGCTTTTCGCAGCTGCGAGCAGGACTGCTGATGCAATCGTGAGTTCATGGTCCATTGCCCGAACAGTTTGGGATCCATGAGTCCCTTTTGCGCCCCAATTTTTGTTGGCTCTTATTGCAGGTATCACGTTGGGGCGCGCCGGTTGCATTCTTTGCGAAAAGCTACTCCTTGGTTGGCAGTGGTTTCATTTGCCTCGGCCCCCTCGACCCGGCGCAAAGTGGCCAAACCTGTGGTTGTCCTTTTCGCACGTGTTGCGTACTATCAAGCCCTGCTGAATAAACCTGACCAGCTACTGGCAAGGGGGCTCTGCTGATAGAAGCGAGTCCCCTCTAAAGACAGGGATCCTTCTTCCCGTGATGCTTAGAAATGGTGAAATATTGGGAACCCTGAAGAAGCGCCCTCTTGGCGAGGAACCAAAGCTTCTGACGTGCACGAAGCCTTGGAAGCGCACTACAAGGGCAAGGAGTTTGTGTACCTTGGCAAGTGGAACGCGTTGTGCCAGAGAACTTGCTTCCGTTGCTTCCTTCAAAAGGCTGCTGTGGATTGTACATCTCCAAAACAAAGACCTCCAAAGCCGGCGCTTTGGCTTTGGGCAGCCTTGTTGGAAAGCCAGCAGGACACACGTTGGGGGCTGCGACGGAGGGCCCTAGGTTTTAGCCCGTTTTGCAGTACCCAAATACATGGTTTTCTCCTGGTTCAGCGGGAGGGATTGGATTGAATCGTTTCCGAAGGTCAGTGAAGCCGCTCAATGACAAGGATGGCCAGCCTGGCCAGTTTGTCTCAGGGCGAACGGCATGTAGCTCGCCCTAACAGGTTTGCACATTGTGGGTGTCTCGCATGAATCTGGACCACTCAGGGTACCCTTGAAATGGAGCATGTCCCCTACCAAAAGCAAGGGGAATATTGGAGCTGGTGGCGGTTGCTTGGGAGTGCTTGTGTGGTTTTGATTGATTAGAGTGCTGCTCAGGTGGCGATTACTTTTGGGTGGTGCAGATGGTGCAAAGTTTAGCGTCCCCGAGTTGAACAGCGTTTAAGGCTGGAAAGTCCTGCTCTCAAGCCCCCAGGCCATCTCTTGCCCTTTTCAGACCAGCCCAAAGGTATGCCGCGGGTTTTGACCGGTGGCCACTGCCGAATCTTTTGGGCATTCCGATGGCTCCTTGTGGTTTGTCCTTACAGTCATTCACTCGTTCACTGATACCGTCTTTGGCTGTTTCTGAACGTGTGCATCCGGCTTCATAGCTGAGAGAGAGAGAGAGAGAGAGGGAGTCAAGCTCTTACTGCCCCCCCCCCCCCGCTTTGCAGTTGACACATCCAGGGTAAGCTTCCAACCACGCCACAGGACCGCAGGTTTGCTGTTATGTTGTCCCTCTGCTGGAAAGACTTAACATCACCGATGCATCCACCAGATGTGGGTGTCTCTTACAGCACCTGAAAAAGTATCCAAGTGGCAAGGCAAATGCCAACCGCGACCCCCAATTGCTGGGTCCCCCAAACTGAACGAGGGTATCGGCAAAAACACAGAGACAGACAGAGAGCTCTTTGTTTGCCATGCACCCGATGGCCCGGCCATGATGCTTCCGACTCTGCGACTTTGGCCTGCGCCGCGGGCTCCGCCGGCTCCGCGGGCTCCGCGGGCTCCGCGGGCTCCGTGGGCTCCGCCTGCCGCCGGTCGCCCCGTTCCTGGTCAAAAGGTGGAACAAGGGATCGGGGGAGATTGTGTTTAAAGCCAACTGTCTGGAAGAAGTCTATTCCCGCATTGGGATGACCGACCTTGATATCACGAGGCTGATCCGTTCCCGGCAAAGCACCACCGGCGAGTCAGTTTGCATCTCCAAATGGTGCCCCATTTCAAAGGTCTTTTCGGGTCTCATTGGATTCGGTATGTCCTGATTTGTTCACCAAGGCTCGGGGGCTGTGTGCAAGGAGAGCAGTGGCGGGAGGCTGAGATCTGATCGCAACTGGAGAGGTGACACTGGAGATGGATGGAGATGACGTGGCGTGCGTTTGCCATTTTAGGTCTTCTTGATGCGAGTCGAATCCCCTAAAGTGACATTCAGTGGGAACCCAGGGTGTCTTCTCTGGTAAGAGGGGAACCTTCACTGTTGAGAGAAGCACATACTCATGCGCCAGCTTGACTTGTCGGAGCTGAAAATCATCACAGAAAGGGGAAGCCATCCATGTTCTGTGTCCTGCAAGTGGCCCAACATGACAACTCTGAAAAGTTCTGCAAGTTGTGGGTCAAACAAAACCAGGCACAGCCGGTTCCCGCCAAGTCTTGCGTGTGTTTCCAAATAGGGGAGCTTCCGCATTGGTTGACTTCCTGTTGCTTTCTGTTTGGAGTGAGCCGCTAAACGGTACATTCAAGATGGCACATACTGTACCCCATTGGCACTGGTTTCATACTAAAGATGACCCAAAAAGGTCACTCATCATGCGTCTTGGGAGAGTTGGTCGCAGAAGGGAAACAGACCACTCGAGAGTATCGCGGAAGCATGAAGTATGCCTGGCAGTGCGTGCCTTGATCTCCAAGGTGGAAGGCGATGAGCACACAGCGGCAGCTTCTGGGCAGACACATGGAGTTGAGGTCGTGACGATCCTTTTTGTGGTCACCCATTTTGGGCGTCCCGCAATTTGGAGACAGATGTGTGCTGAACTTGGGCATCAGCGTGCTGTGATGAACGGCAAGCCAAGGCAAGCCAGGCATTTGTGGGAGGGGGTTCCCAAGTTCTTTTTCGCTCTTCGCATAAGCTTGCTCGTCGGCGTGGGGATTGGGGAAGATTTCGGGCACCATTCAGGGAGGATGTACTACCAGAACTACTATCACCACGACTCTTCCGGCCGCGTGGTTTCTGCGTTTTTCTTGTGACGTCCATGCATTTGTAAACTCAAGCACGCTAGTTAGATAGCCGGCAAGTTGACTAGCTAGCCGCTTATGTAATTAGCTACTTTGGTTAGCTAGCTAGCTGGCTAGCCGGCAGAAGTCAGCTAGTTTGCAAATTTCAGTAGCCAGTTAGCTGGTCAAGTACGTGGCTAGTTCAGGAGTAAGCTAGTTTGCCACATAACTCACTAGGTCGGCTAGCTAGCTGGCTGGACGAGTTGATTGGTGTTGGAGCAGATTAGGTAGTCAGCTCAGTCAGCAGTTGGGTCGACCCCACGAAAGTCCGCAGAGGGTTGCACGAGTGAAATGAACAACGCACCAAGAAAGACGAGTTTTGAGGGCCGACTCCACAGAAGTCTGCAGAGTGTTCACCATTTCATGGCGCATGGGCATGCGTCCAAGCCGCGACCGCGTCGGCCAAAGGTGGTTTGCGCCATGCCGAGGAGCCTAACTCATGCACAAGGCTACGCTTTCTGCCCGCTTCTATTCCACCATTCACGCATCTGCATTTGTTTAGTAGCTTCGCACGCACTCCGCATGCAGCAACTAAGTTCTAAGGGAGCGAAGCTTAAACAGTTCCAGTACCACGGAAGTTTCTCTTAAACTTCCTTTGACTAGCCAACTCTTTTGGCTCAGTTTGCCTTCATCCCTACTTGGCCAAGGTTCAAAGATGGCTGGGCGCTGTGATCATCGGCATGGGAATTTGCCCCTGGGCCAAGCCCGCGGGTGAGGCACTTTGCGTCAGCAAGGGCGAAGTGGATCTCTAGCCCAGTGCTTCCAGGTTTTACTTCACTTGGTGCCTGCATGATGGTTTGTGTTACGAAACACTGGCCATGGTTTGGTTTGGGCTCTCCCTTACAGGGACTGTCCATAAGTACTGTCTCCCCTCTTTACAAAGGCATGCTTGTGTTTTGGGGTGTCTGTTTTTTTTGTTTCCAATCATGCACTGTGATGGACACCATTAAACGGACCCTTTGCCCTACCCAGTTGTTTGCGGCTTTTTCTGTTCTTCCTTTTTTTCCCTTGCGGATGGTTCCCCAGTAACGAGGAGAGCGCGCAAATGCTAGGCAACACGCCGAGCCACTTCCTAAGGTTCACAGAGGTTGCCGTGGGAGCCCGTTGATTGAGGTCCAACTCGTTTAAAACACAAAGCCATGTAGAGCCATTCAAGAGATCAAGTGCCAGGAAACAGTTTCCGCCAGCCTGACCCAAACACCCACCCACGCACAAGCGCACACACCCCCACCCCCACACCTGGGTGTTTTCACCCGTCCCCTTCGCTAGGCTGGCGGCATCCGCGTGGTGAGCAGTACTGCGGCGAAACCCCGGGAGGCACTGGTGGATTTGCGCGCGGAGGCACGGAGGCTACGAGGCCGGGTTGAGGGAAGGGCCTCCTATTGGGGTTGGTTTAAAGTGAAACCAAATGGAAGACCAGAACAGGCTGAGGGTCTATATCCCTTGGTGTGTGTTTTTGGAGGCCGCCCTTGTTGCCGTTGAAGGGAAACCAAAAGGGACCCAAGTCTTGGTCCATATTTGGACGTCATTCCCATTTGTTTCAAAGGACCTGGGCCCCTGGCTTGATTAGAAGCAACACAGGGCCATTAATTCCCTGCCAAGCATGGCAAACAGAAAGGGCGATGGGAACTGGGAAGCTTGGTTTGCTCAGATGCTCAGCACCCGTTCGTTTTGAAGTTGAATGCGCACAAGAGTATGTTTTCTGTGTCACCCTGAGCAAATGACAGACATGGTGGGGCGCATGGATTTGACAATGACACGGCCTTCCGCTGTGCTGGAACGAGTCGAATGAGCATGAGTAGAGTTTGCTGCCTTGTCCACTGCCTCTTTACTTGGCACTGCAGCTTGAAGTTTGTGATCTTCATTCTTGGGGCAATATCCCATATTACTGGCGGCTTTGCTAGACCTATATTTTGAGGGCGTGCTAAGGGCTTTTTGTTCTGAAAATTACTCGCTCCCTGAGTTCCTAAGCTTCATCCTTTTGAGAAGGCAATTTTAGTGGCAAAGAATAGTTTAGACTTCTGGCAGATCCACTCAGGACGTGAGGTTCTTAACCCTTCAGCTACGGGTTGTGGATAATTGTTCTAGGCCCACTTGTTGTACCAAGGGACCCCCAAGTGCTCCACTGGAGCCCCCGTAGGGTCGCGGACATTTGAAACATTTTGGGCCAACTCAAAGAACGTGTCCTGGAGCTCGGCGCGCTTCGCCAGGCGCGGCGTCTCCGGTTACCACGTTGCTGGTGTGCCCGGCGGTCGAGGCCTGGGAAGACTTCGAGGACTTCAACGACTTCAGGGAAAATGAGCTGCGGCAGCACGGCACGAATTCAAAATGCGACTCACATGCTCAAAATCCGGATGCCTTGGGTTGAAAATGGTTGGTTTCAGTTTGGCTTCCCTTGAAATACCAACCAACAAATCGGCAGTTGGAGAACCTCCCCAAAGCTGAAGTACCTGGGGGATGGCTGATGCTCACAAAAGCATTCATGAAAGCTGACGGAGGTTATTGCAAGACCATGTCCTTCTCTCGGGATTGGACGCAAGAAGATGGTTTTCGGCTGAGCATGGTGGTACTGGCGCCGAGCAGTGACCTGTGTTCTGAACTCGCACTCGAACAGGCCCTGCTTTGAAATTGACGGGCTGGTTGAACATGACCCCGTTGCTCTCCAGAGGATCGGCATATGATGTCCCCTGAACATGAAGTCTGACAAGGCTGCGCGGATAGCTGTACTCGGGCCCCTTTCCACATCATTGATTGTTGGGAGGAAGGGAGGGAGGGAGGGAGGCAGGGAGGGAGGGAGGGAGGGAGGGAAGGCGTATGGTTTACCCCACTCAAGCGCGATGCCGGCAGCCGCTACCAGTTTGGAAAGCAGGCTTGGGATTTATCCCTCAGCTCACTTCATAAGCCACAAGTTTGCGAGCGCCTTGCGTGTTGGTCGATCCAAGGAATGGGGAGGCACTCGCTGAGGAGTTTCAGTGCAAAGTCGTGTGCTTCCACCCCTGCTCGCAGGCTGCTTGGCTGACTGTAGCGACAGGGTCACGGCTATGCATCTTTTCGAGCGAGAGCCGCCGTCAGGCGTCGAATAGCTACGGGCTGCAAGCTGGAGATGAGATCCTGATCCAGACCAAAGAGGGTCACGGCCTCGGATGTGCCATCCGGAGCCTGAAATAAGCCGTGCAGACAAAAGAACCGGGCACGGCATGGTTCAGAAACACCATGCCACTATGCACCCGGCAGCATTGCACCGCTTGGTCACTGCAGGGGATACGCTGTTTCTCAGACACGTTTTTGGACACAAGATGCACCAGCACGAAATGTGCAAGTTAGCTCAACGACGGTCATGAAGCCACAAGAGCAAAGGGCGCACTGTGTTATGCCTTGGCAAAAGGAATTCTGTCCACAATACAATGCAGCTGTTTGAATAGATCGCCACTGGCCCATGGCCCTCATGGCCCTGTAAGATAGTGTCAAACCAGCAACCTTTTTCCAACATGGAAGTGAGTTGGAAGCCTTTTCAACATCGTAGTAGTCGTTCAACACCCTCATGTCCAATCCAGCTACCAAACCACCATCTCGCATTACGACCCCCCAATCCACTACCCGGCGTGGTCTCCACCCATACAAGAGGAGTACCCCAAGCTTTGGCTGGAGACCCTTTTGGGCGCGGTGTATCGCTTCAAAGCCTCCGGAGGCGACCTGGCAGGGACCATCCTCGAGATCTCGGAAACATCGCCGCGGGAGCTCACGGTGCAGTGGCTCGCCAAGCCGACGAAATTGGAAACCCACGGATCGAAGCGACGGGGATACTGGCTGTCTCGTTTGGGCCAACCGGTAGTAGGGACCGATGGTGTGAGACCCGTTCAGCACTTGTTTCGAAGTTCTCTGGCAGTGATTAAGCGATTAGGATAAGCGATCAAGCGACCAAGCGATTAGCATAAGACACTAAGCGTTTAATTTGAGCAAATGGGATGAGAGATTCCTGGATTAAACAAATGGGTGATTACGCGAGTAAGCGATTTGGAAAGCCATCAGGACAAGCGATTGCGCGATGAAGCCATCCTGGCATGCTACTAAGCGATCAAGCGATAAGCAGCGTAATAGCTCAATAGCTGTGCGAAACAGCGTGGCAGCCGCATCGAGTCGAGGACATCGTGAGCCCAAGATGTAGCAGCGTGGCCCGGGTCACGGCCCGGGTCGAGAAGCGAGACCAAGCTGCATGAGCTACACCGTCGCGTAGTGGCGCAACGACTTGACAGCTTCATCTAATTTGTCTATCGGCTTGCTGGCTGTTGCGACCCTGCCCACACCCTCTTTTTCACGAGAGCAGGACCGGCGTACGGGCGTTGTTTCCAATGGCTATTGGGAAAGACAGAAACATCTTGCGCCTTTTTATCGAGGTGATGTGAGGCTTAGCAGAAAGGGTCTGAATCCTAGATGTGGTTTGAACAATGAGAAGGGAAGATTCTGGCAATGGTTGTGTCATTCAGCGTAAGGCTGCATATTTGCGCGTGCGTGCGATTGGGTTGGGATTGCTCACTCCTGTAGTTCCCAAGCATGGCAAGTACATCTGAATCGCGCCATGATTAAGCCCCGCTGCTGGCTGCCAACAATGGTCATCAGCTGTCTTCCCGACTGCTAACACGAGGGATTCTTTTGAGAGAACGATGCTGGGGTCCCCTCCAAAACTATTTTTTCGTAGGCTTGACTAAACATGGCACAGAGTCAGAATATTATTTTCTGTAGCCCAAATGGCCTTTTTCACACAAGGAGCTTGGATCCTGGCTTGCCTATCTAAGGATCTTCGGCCAGGTTGACAGAGGCGCGGCTTAGAATGTGTGATGTGGCACCTATTTTTATGGGTGTAAAAATAGGGAGACACAAGAATGGTGGCTGTCGTCCTTTTGGCTTCCCTTAAAACCAACCTGGAAAGGGAACCCTCAAAACACGACCACGCACACACACACACACACATATGCGCGGGAGCTCGCGCGGCCGCCCGCCACCCCGCCCGCACGCATGTACACACGCACGCAACACATGTTCTGGTGCCTTTCTTAATGTAGAACAGCGCTGTGCCTTTTGGGTTAGGACATGATGGGGCACTGGAATGAGAACACCCACTTCTCGACAGTTCGCTTCAAACAGTCCGTTGCAAAAGCGCGGCAGTGCAAGTTTTCAGCAGAAATGGCCGCAGGGGCGGCAGAGATGGCGATCGAGCCGGTGGCAGAGCGCATTTGCCATGTCTCTGAGGGTGATGTGCCTGGGCACACGAGGGTATTGCGCACGGTCATTCATCTCCATTTTCCAGTTCAAGCCTACGGCATCCTTATCCGTGAATCCCGCCAGGGCGCAGTGAACTTGTGCATTGCGGATTTGAAGGGGCTAAATCTTGGTGCCAACTAGCAAGGAGCGCAGCGCAGACATTAGTATTTTGATCAACTATGGCGCAAAAAGTGACTGGACAATTTTACAGGAGAGTTGCATGGTCAGCAGAAGCAGGTTCTTTCAGGGCATGTGGCGGCCATGCCATGCTGCGTGCAGTTGTCAAATGTGCTTTTCGAAAACCGCAGGAAGGACTAGAGGTTTGCTGCGTAGCTCAAGACTCAAAAACAACTTGCTCAAATGCTGGCTCATTCAAGAGATTTGTTCAGTGAGCACCAACGTCGACATTGTCCCTTGCCCATTTTGCTCCCGACGCAAACCTCAACCAACCAAGCCCCAATCCAAAATCAACGCTAGACCCAACTTGCAAACAGTTGGAACGAACCCGAGACCAAAAGCAAGAAGCCGCCCTGTTGGCCTTTCCAATCGAGCCATGACTGCATGATGTTGCCATGATTCCAAAGAAGTTCCACAAAATAAGCTTCTCCCACCCAGAGATCAACATGTTGTTTTTTCTTGGTGTCCCTTGAGATCAAGGTGTATTGGTGTCCGTTGCGTCCAATCGCGGACACAAAGTCCGAGGCCCTACAGCTGCTGGGCCGCGAGGCCTTGCAGGACGAGGCCGGAGCTTGTGCTGTTTCAAGAAGGGCGGGTTTCAAAATTCAGCAGTTCCCGTTCGAATGTGGCGGGTGATTCTGTACCTTGAGGAGTTCGTAGTTGTCCGACTTTTCCTCAAGAAGCCCGAAGTAAGTCGAGTACTTGGAGGCTTCCCATTTCGAAATTCGGCTTGAGGACTTCGCCTGCCTTTCCTTTGGGAGCATTTGACAAAAAGGAACTTCCGACCGAACCGTGGACCAAGCCTAGCACCTCAAGCCATGTTTGGCACATCTATTCGGAAACTATATGCCTGGTGTATCTCAAACGCGTGCAGCCACCTAATCTTGATCAAGAATATTGCTCATAACTGAACCGCAGGCCAAAACCAATTATTCAGCAGCCGGCAACGGCAGTTGACAGATCCGGGATACATGCTGTGCGCTTTGGAACCTGTACAGTTGGGGTCCCTTCAGTTTTTGATCCGAAGCAAAGCGGCACGACCCTTTGCTTTCAGGACGAGTGCCGCAGCATCCTGGGCCGCGCCCCGCGGGTGGTGCTGCACCTGCTTCGCACGGAGGACCTGGAGGCCGCGCAACGAGGGCGAAATGATTGACCCCTGTTGAATCACATGTTTGGAATATTTTGGAATTGTGAATGCATTGGGAGTTTGGAGAGTAAACCTGTTTCGCACGTTGAATTGCTCCAAAGACTATTTCAATGTTCGGGACCCGTTCGAAAGTCAAAAGGGTGTTGAAAGGCGATCCAAAAGCTTCTCCGCTATATGATTCTGGCACTGTGCTTGACTACCAGCTCTTGTGACCTCAACATTTTCAAGCTCCCAGGTGGTTGACGACAAGAAGGCTGGGTTTGCGCCAGGTATTGCACGCTGCATCTAAAGGATGTGTTGCATGCCAAGTATGCTGCTTGCATGAAAGTGCTGAAATACAAGGGTGACATTTGCATGCAGTTTTTTCCTGGAGTGCTGGGCTATTCGCTCGATTCAGAGATTTCCTCTCATCTCTACTTCGAGCATGCAGTCGGAATAAACGAATGCCTCAGGCCAGTATGCCCCTCTTCCCCTTGCGACATTTTCCCTCTTCATTTTTCACATGGGAGTTCTCAGTGGCTTCACTGCTCAGTTGGGATGCAGGAGTTCTTGTCAGCCAAGGCGAAGAAGACTAAGTGTGGTTTGATACTTCCTGCTTCTCTCCAATTTGTCTTCGCTGGATGTTTGAGGGCAAGGGGCACGATTGGACAATTCAATATGCGGGAACCAGAAGTCCTTCACAGGTAGAGCCGATTGAATGGTGAGCGTGCCACGCTCTGCCAACAACTCTGAGAGCTTGGCGACTACTTGGGTATTTGTGAATGATACCTGGGGACCCTCCAGACAACACGTTAGTTCCTCTACGAAACCGGCCGGAGTATCACAAGCCTGACTTTCATGGGAGCCACGCTTGGCCTTCGCATGCCTTCGAAGGCCTTTGAGACGTTGGAGCGCAATGAGCAGGCCTTGGTGCTTTCAGTTCAGTGGATTCTATGTCTCTTTTCTTTGGGTACGGGACGTGAAAAATCGTCAAGCGCAAGAATTCGTTCCCTGTATCCACCGGGGTCACTGAGCAACTAACTGTTTCTATCTGTGGGAGACCTTGTCAATTTGCAGCAGCACCATCAGCACCAGCAACATCAAAGAGGCAGGCAATGGCCCGTGTGATTTTGATCGACTCGCAGGTCGTCGAGAAGCTTGGACTGGCCGGGTTCGATGAGCTGGTGAAGGAGTGTGGCTGAAGTGCGGCACAAAGCGGGCCGCAGTGGGCCGTGCAACGCCGCGCGGCTTTTTGTCACAATATCTCGCAATTCAGTCTGCGCCAAATTCTCCGATTCCTGGTGGTTTGCGCTAGCCCGTCAAAGTGGCACTGAATTTCGGATCACATTCCCGCTTGCAAGCGTCATGTCGGCAAAATCTGTGAATGCAGCGACGAGGGCCAAGGTAGGACTTGCTTGACCTTTATCTTCGCAGACCCACTCATTGATTTGTGTGTATGTGCCCTTATCGCCCTTGGTTCAGAGAAAAGCCAAGAGGAAAGCCACATGTTTTGGCCGCACACTACCCACTCTGAGCAATTTCAGGTTATCCTATTTTTGTGTGCTTTGCCTCAAGTTGAACGTTTCGCTTGAGTTGTCACAGATTCTTGTACAGAGCAACGCAAAGTCAAACGGTGGAGGCGCTTGGTCCAACTTTCCTCCAACCAGGTTGCTGAACCCCGGTGTTCAGGTTTCAGTTCAAGCGTTCGAACTTTTGCCCTTGTCCTCACCACCTCACCTCCTGTTGCCAGCACTGGAGCGTGGGGCGTTCCTGCGGCCGGACGCGTTGAACGACACCAACAAGCCGAAGCCTTGGCCTGGAAAAAGCAAATGACAACCTGAACATGTGCACTGCCCGAACAGCTGGCAGCCTGTTGAGGTAAATCCTTCAGAACAGGAATCCCTTGTAACAATCCGCATAACCCGGAGTCAGCATGAACCCTTCATTGGAGGAGCATGGCGGGATCCAGGACTCGCACATCTGGCAACACCTCCCTGAACAACCCAAAGAAACTAGATGCAATCGTTCTTATCGGGCTCCAGTATCCTTCGTAAGAGTGAACCAGGCCATCCAAGATACGCTTGAAACGGGCAAAACAGCTAGCCATGTGACTGCATGCCCTTGTGCTGCGTGGGAACTTGCCAACTCCTTTCCAAATCTTCCAGGTTGGAGCTCTTTTGCTGGGCAAACGAAGCCCGGGGCTCTGTCTTGCGCGGAGTGCAGCCAAAGCCGTGAGAGAGACGGGGTTGTCCTTTCGAGGGATCACAGCATAGTTTGTTGCAAAACTCGACAGGGGGACATTGAATTCGGAGAGTCATTGTTTTTGCTTTCGAGAAACCACAGAACCTATCTGCTGCGGAGCGATGTTTGCCAAGATTCAGCAGGACTTGCAGCTAAGCAACACGCAGCAATCAAAATGGAAGCTTCCAAATTGCTACCATATGTGTCAAAGCCAAGGATCCCTTCAAGTGAACAGTTTCATGTCAGGGTTTTATGTTTCCTTTCTCCCCCAAAGGGTTCCTAGTATTGACTTGCACGAAGTTGTCGCTCTAAAACTGCTGGCATTCCTGAGGAGCCAATTTCAGGTGCGGCAGTCTGTTTAGTACTCCAACTCACAGCACCCCGGAGGTGCACGTGTGTCAATCTTTGGGACCAGTTTTGTTGGCTGGCGGCAAAAGGAAACCCAAAGTGCCACCAACCGTGTCAACGGCCACGTTCCCAATTATCCTCAAATGGTTTCTTCTTCAAATGTCCTTTTTTAGTAGCCCCTTGAGAACATCGGAGCCTGTGCTTTTGAGGACAAGGGCACCATGTGGCTGGCGGCTCGTTTGGACAACCTGGGCAAGGCCAGGCTCCTTGTCTCGCTTTCAAAAAGTAATCCATGGACCCCGAGCATGATTCTCAAGACCTGTTTGCCAACCGTTTGAGGACAAAACGGCCTATGACAAAGCCGCACTCTGTTGGTGCATGTCAGAGGTAAGCTTGAATTGTTAAGCCAAGGGCTCATGAAGGTTGTGGAATGAAGCCAAACCGGGGGGGAGGGGTTCAGGTTTTAGAGGATTCTTCCTATGGGTTCCTGTGAATTAAGAAAGTGTAAATTCGCCAGGGCGCAAGCGGCGCTTGCGTGCAGAACCTGAACCTGGCGTTGGGGTTCCCCGAGGCCGCGGTTGCCCGGAGATGTTTCTTGGTTGGGCGTCCTTGTCATTTCTTTGCAAGTGGATACAGGTCGCCGAATAAGGCACCTGGCTGGTGTTTGTTTAATAATGTTGGGTCAAATGGATACACAACCTGAGCCCTGAGCCAAACCTGGAGATTTTCTCGATTCCTTCCCAATAGAGTGTAAAACTGGCACACCGTCGTCCCCGATGCTCGCTCCGACGCTCGCAGAGCTGTTTGAGGGAAGAACAAAGACAAGCCTGGCCCAATTGCCCAGCGTTCTGCAGCGAGCAAACTTCTCACCCAGGCGAGCAGGCACTTTGTCATTCCCCTTTGGCATCCAGGGATGGGCATGATGGAGTTGCCAGGCTTGAGTTTGCTAGACTGCTGGTTGCCAGTATAGCTGATCCTTTTCACTGAAAGCGCTGCAGGGTTCCTTATATTTCCCCTCGCTCAAACCAACAACAAGGAGCAACGCCACCACAGCCAAGAGGAAAATACAGGCCCCATGCTGCGAGCATTTGTCCGGCGCACAGGCGACGGGGCTTTGATAGTCATGCTGATCTGCTGAGCGTGCGTCTCTTGACTCCTTGTCCGCGGACGAGGAACTGACCAGGCAAGCTGCAGAAAACTGTTGCATTCTCGAATTTCTTCCCTATGCACCTTAATTATGAGTTTTCAGCTAGTCCTCGAGGTAGAACAATTGATTCGAAAGTTCTCAGTGCGGAATTTGACCGCTTCCGGGCCTTGTGGGGCCGCCGCCTCACCTTTTGGCATTGGCAGGTGGAGCCTGTCAGACAGGTTTGTACGAGCAAACAATATCACTTTTGATTGAAACATCTTATTCAGTCCAGAGATGAGAAAAAGGAAATATTTGACAGTGATAAGCACAAACTCTACGATATATATAATATTATGAATATTCCCGTTGTTGTGTTTTTCCTTTTTGTGTTATTGTATATGTTTCTCGATATAATATTTTTGTAGTTGTTATTTTATGTATTTGATATATAATTGGTGTTTAATTATAATATTTAAAGATATTAATTTTAAATATATTATGAATATATTTTAAGCATTATATTTAATATTAATTATATTGGTTGTTATATATTATATAGAATAATTATTAAAACTCATTAAAAAAAAATAATATTTATTTAAATATATTATATGTTTTTTAAAAAAGGAACAACCTCTTTAATTATTCTTATATATGTATTATAAATATATATTTATAATTCGCTAAATATATTTTACCTTTTATATTCTTTTTATATTTGTGTTTGGTATTATAATATATATATATTGTAAAATTCAAAATATAATATAATACTGCAAAATTATGGAATATATATTACTTACAATAAAGTCATTATCTTTTATTAATTTTTCGGGAACCGAATTCATTTATAGGTTATAATATATTTTATTAATATATCCTAAACTTATAACGATAGTTTGGTAACAATAAATAAATGATAGGAATATAATTTGGCTATATTTTTGTTTGAATAGGATTAGATCGTTATTTTTAAATTGGAATATGATGTTATTTATGTATTGAATTTGGTTTTTTGTTTGGCAAATTTGTGTTTTAGATATGTGTTTGATTAATAATTCCGTTTTGAATTATGGACGGTTTATACCGTTAAGTCTCTCTTTTTTTCGATATGGTTATGATATGTATTGTGGGTTTGGGATTGGTTTGGGGTAGGTTTTGGGGGTATAGGGTGGGAAATTATTTGGTTCGTTGTGTTGTTTAATAAATAGATTTAGATTAAATAATATATTGAATTATTTGAAGAATATAAATATATAATTAAATATTGGATATAATTTAAATTTTGAAAAAAAAACAATATATTATCTGATATAAATAAATTATATTAATATTATTTTAATTGATGGATTTATTTATTATATTATTTAAAAAACAAAATCATTATATATGAATATTATAATAATAAATATATTTAAATAAATAGATATATATATATATATTTAATTTATATTTTTTTGAAATATTCGAAATTATTAACGGTTAGAAATTTGTTCTTAAATATAATATATATATATATATATTAAATTAAATAATATATAAAACCATTTTAGAATCTGCCGAAGAAATTTATAATTGGATATTATTAATTATGATTTTATTTAAGAAATAATATTTAAATATTTTGTATTTATAGGTTAATCTGTATATTATAGTTGTTTATTTATAATTTATATTATTTAAATATATAATAAAAATAGTAATATATATTCAAAAAAACATCCAATTAAATTATTGAAAGTAATTAATACACCATATTCATATTATATATTTCTTAAAACAAATAGAAATTATTAATGTTCGATTAATATAATATTAGTAGGGGTCCGCTGCTTTCTAGCAGCGTGCGATATGAAGCCCATGGCAGGAGACAGAGCATGAAATAAAATACATTCCAATTTAAATAATTATAGTTAAATATACACGATTATATTCATTGAAATGGAAATAGTAACAAAAAACGATTTCGGAATATTTCGAGAAAATAATTGATTGCGATTTTGAGTCTTTGCCTTAGACCCTGCCCAAGCACTCTTCGAAAGATTATGTACTGCATTGCATTAAAGACCCAATTCTGGAGACCCAGATATGTAAAGACGAATTATAGATGGAATTTCTCAGTAACACCTGAATATATTTCCAAAGCACTGCGAGCGATACACAAAGCAACAATGTGTCTCAGATGTCCGATACCAACGAATCAGTGAAAAGCAATCGCCTAAATAAAGAAATAATAAATTAATGGCCTCAAAAAATCTATACCCATATATAATTATTACAATATACACAAAAACAACATCGACCACAAAACGCCGCTAATCACAACAATCGGTTCTCACATCGCCAAACTCTCACAAAACGAATACAAAATTTCAACCAAAATAATAACGGAATATCTAAATAAATTATTTTTCTAACCTCCCAAAACATATCCTTCATAAATGTGGTGATTGATCTAAATTTCTTTCTTTCGAAACGACCATT